AATCAGAATGTGTATTATTTGTAAATATCAATTTTATTAGTCTATAATTTTTGTTTTGTGCCGTTTTTCATCAAACAATCATGCTTATTTTCTGACCCGAAAATATTTCCAACATTGTTCCCAACTTACATATGTATGTATTTCGTCCACAGTTTTACTATTCACAAGCAGTAAATTATAATTTTTTCACTAAAAGTACAACACAGTATACCAACAAAAAAAAAACGATCCCTCCATTCACACACGCCTAATCAAATTTTCTTTATTTCTCTCTTGCCATACAATTTCTTAAAAAAAACCCAGCTGGAACGTTCCGCTAGCTTGGTTCAGGATGCCGAAAGTGGTGTTGTACGCAAGATACCAAAGAAGAGTGCAACCCATATCACCATGCGCATTTTGATGCAGGCCTTTACGATGACCTTCCTGGCCGAATGGGGCGATCGTTCGCAACTAACCACCATTATTTTGGCCGCCAGCAAGGTGAGTGAATATGATTGTTTTTTTTTTGTTGCATTTTATATTAATTTTTCTATTTGTCATTGCTTGCAGAATGTCTATGGCGTCATTACCGGCGGTATTATTGGCCACTCCATCTGCACCGGTTTGGCTGTAATCGGTGGACGTATGGTGGCCGCTAAAATTTCTGTGCGCACTGTTACAATACTCGGTGGCATTGTATTTATAGGGTTTGCAGTGTATGCTTTGATTGTAAAACCAGACGATATTTAAAGTGCAACTTAAACAAAAAAAAAAAAAATGGAAATTCATGTGCGAAATGACGAAGATAAACGCAACGGAAATATGCAGCATCAAAAATAATTTACTTTAGTTTCATACTAACAAACCAATTCTATATTTTTTACAAAGTAAAGTGCTCAAAGTGTTTTAATAGTTTTCACTTATTTTTTTTGTTTCAAATTTATTTAGATAATTTTATAAGATACCGAACTTTAACAAGTAAAGTGCCTTCCTTTTGCCATTTAGAAAATTATTTATTCAAAGAGTTCACAAAAACTGCAGAAAAATGTGCTAAAGCAATATGCAACCATGACATTTTTAGTTGGTTTTTAACATAAAATTGGCGCGCATTAATTATTCGAAATTCGTTCATTTGTAATTCGTTTCGAATTGCTGCATAGCTCTTTCTTATGATGCACTTAAATATACATTTATAAGTTGTTACTATTTGCCAATATTACTTAATGTAAAACAGTCTGTGTTGCTTACTCTTACAATACATGTTGTGTAAATAAGCTCAGCGTGTGTAACAAAAGTTATATAAATTTCAAAAAAAAAAAAACGAAATAAATAATCACTGACTGTATAAGCAATCAAATCCTACCTACTACTGAAATGTTTTGTAAATCCGCTCGAAGATGCAATTGACAAAATTGCCTGCATTGATGTAAATTAAAACGAATAAGAAAAAAAGCTACCAAAAATAAAAGCTTGTTTTGTGAGTGTATTGTATTTAATATGTAAAAAGTGAGAAAAGTAAAAGTGGAGCATCATACAAAAACAAAAATATACTAGTAAAATAAACTCAGCAAATTTTAAGCAAAACGTACAAGACTTGTATTTTCTTTCCTTTTTGTCATAAAAGCGTTTTTTTTTTTATTTAAATTAAACAACTTAAAAATCTATGCCAAATTATATTAGGTCGATATAGTAGTTTAGTACATACATATAGTATATTAAATAATGTCCATTTTTCTTTTATTTTTTCATAATTTTTAATGTAAAGTTATAAAAAATAATATTTATAATTTAAAATTTGCATCAACTTAGCACCGCCATTTACTTTTGTGTCATTGGATCGCGATAGATGCCAGTGAATAATATCGCCTTGGCGCTGTAGTCATAAATAAGGAACAAAAATGGATGATTGCACTCGAATTTGGTTGGTTCGAGCGGACGTGCTGAACGGAAACTGAAAAGCACTGTGGCCGCTGAGGCGGTGCTGCCCTCTTCGTCCACCTTTATTTTGGCCACATGTTTAGCGTCACCGATTGGCAGGCTATTGGCCGAGAAATCGCTTAGATCGGCTTCCTTTTCGAATAGCGAATTGATGCCAACTTCGCGGAGAATCTGTGAAGTATAGAGAGGAGAGTGGAAATATACGATTTTTAATACATATTTACATAAATACATTATTTTTAGTTTTTATTCAAAAAAAGATTTAATAATACTAAAATAACTGCGAGTAGCAAGCAGAAAAAGGTTGTACGGTTACAGCCTAAGAATGTGATTTCATATTCATTGCATGGATTCAAACTCGGACTCAAGTTCATTTTGTCCTAAGCGCATGATAACTGACCTAAATACGATTTAAACCCCGTTCTTTCGATGTGCTTAACCGACACGAAGCATAAGGTGCAATTTAGAATCCTTTGAAAAATCTTTTTTAGGAGGACCTTAACAAGCCGGACGACTACAATATCTAGACCTTAACTGTGCCAGAGTGACGTGCGGGCCTCACGCAGAGGCTGAAACTCTTCGTCTGGCTTAACAATTTGGAAAAGCAGAGGTATCGGTCTCCTTTGTTGGCTGGTTTCCCCTGCTTCAGTAGTGGAACCACCCTCCCTGGTATTCACTCATCTGAAATCATTGGTGAGGTATGCTTCTTCCGTTGGTGCACAATTTTTTCAGCATCAGCATGCATATTCGTTTGGAGGCTTTCGCCACCTGAAACATTCATTTCCTAGAACTGCCGCTTCCCGCGGAATGTTCAGAAGGATTTCCACTAGACGTCCGGATAGGATGAAGCGTGCCGCTGCAGCAGTGACTAACCTTGCGGAACCGACGTTGACCTGGTGTACGCTTGTGGGAAGGACGGCGAACGTACTCTCGGTAATACTGCGAAGCCGTCCCAATCAGCTTTGTTGAAGTTGTTATACGGACGATGGTCTGCGCTAGTCATTGTTAGGTAAGGCGAACTGCTACAACTACGCACAATCCTTGGGGAGACGTCGTCGTTCATCGAGCAAAACTTCGAAGCGTCTATCTGATCCATTAATAGAATTCCCTTGCGATCATTTGACAGGGTTAAGTGCCAAATATATTTCTAGCTCGACATCGCCTAGGCGGATTGATAGGGTTCGCCGACCAAAATAACAGTCATGGTCGGGGAAAATCGCGAGTTATTCCGATGCGTAGGACCGGTTGAACTTATCGGGGTATTCAATCCTGTTTGCAATGATTGCCTTGGGAGCTCATCCGCTTTAAGATTTTGGAAGGATATAGGAAACCGCTTTAGTGGACAGTGGAATTGATCCCATGGAACTATATTATGCTCGCATTAGGAACTTTAAAACAAGGCTAGGAATCTGTATGTCTTAAATTAAGTAAGCTAAGAAGCATTCTTGGCGAGCGTTTGACGAAAGCCGTAGAAGGGCGGATCTAGACGCGTTTTCTCGAGGACCGCTCCTATTCTTTGGAATATTGGGGAGACGAGACGGAGGCGAGGACGGCGAAAGCTCCTACATCTCTATTAAGAATTTCAGGCCAATCAGGGGAGGCAAGCAACAACTAAGTTTTGTAATGAAGCAAAGGGTTGGTTTTGGGGCTAGGAAGAAACTTACTGCCTTCCAAATCAGTATTTTGTGTACAAAGATTATAATAACGTACATAAATCTAAATATCAATTAGAACAAGAAAACGAAGTCACACTGCTCTGATTAAAACGCAATTCTTCTATACAAGAGCGTAATGGATTTATATTTCAAGTTTTCTCATTGACATATCGATACCTGACCTGACCTGAAGATCCACCTTTCTCTTTTCGAAAACGTACTATCTTAGACAACTTTTCAAGAGCGCCTTATTTCAGAACGCTCTATCCCGGAATTTGATTGAATAACTTAGAATTCAGAACTTAGTTCAAAAACGCCCTATCTCAGCAAATTTTCAATGTATTTTCAGCTGAGATAGGGCGTTCTTGAAAAGTTTTCTGAGATAGGACGTTTTCAAAATAGTTGCCAAGATAGGTCGACCTTCCACTCAGGTGTCGATATGCAAATATTGATATCAAAACTTACCGGCACCAGTTCCAACTTTTGCTCAAATGCGAATTTTGGCAGCGCCACTTCTACCTCACGCGCCATGCCTTCTTTCAGCGCATCGTCCAATGAGTCCGGTGTCAATTTAGCCAAAACACCATCCAAATTGTGGAAAGGCGGAAGAATAACGATCATCGAGATATCCGATTCCTTCTCGTTGTCATTGGAAGTGACATAGGGCATCTCCAGCACATAGGCACCCAGATATTCATCCAATGCGAGATTGTAAGTGCCACGCTTATGCATCATATCCACAAATGAATGCTTGCTCTCCGATGTGTAGAAAATGTCTTTCTTTGTGTCTTTGGGATCAAATTTATTCGACCACTGACCCTTAAAGTATGCAGCATTTGCCAAAACTAATTGTGTCTGCGCATCAACATCGCCAGGACTCAACATATCGGGAATTTCATTCTGTGTCACATTACTAATCCAATTGTTGATTTCAATGCGACTCTGTTCGGCATTATTGTGGAAATCAAGCGATGCCAGCTCCTCATGAAAAATATCCTTAACACAGTCCGTAAGCGGGATTTCCTTGTCGAAGTAGATGCGATCGGCGCCAGCAAACTGCAAAGGCATTTTCTTGGCGCGCATCAAGCGACTCTTCTTCTCCAAATTATAGCCGCTGAGCACATGATTCTTATTCTTTGCCCACTGCAATGACAAAGCTTGTGTCAGCTCCGCCTCTGTCTGGCCGCGTGCTCCAAAATACGCCAGCAGGAGAGCGTGGAATGTGCTGTAGGGCGAGAAGAAGACATTCTCGTTGGGTGTAGCCTTATTGATGGCTTGCAGCATCGATACGGTGAAGTTCTGTTGGCCGCGATACAAATCCGAGCGTACGGTGTGTGGCACATCGGCGAGGTCGCGTCCAATTTGGCAGGTTTCTTGAGCGAATATGCAGGGCGTTAGGAAGCACACGAGCAGCGCTAAAAACTCTAAGCTTGGCCAAGTCATTGTGTACTTTACTGGCGGAGCGACTGTAACGAAATTGTGAATTGTTTAGAGGTGATTAGTAATACTGATGTTTGAATTGTCAGAATATAAATTTAAATACGGTAAAAATTTACGACAATGCAGCTTTTAGGTGGAACTGGCGAGCTTTTGCTTCCAAGAGCCGAGCCAAACGAAAAAAAAATTTAAAATTCCCATAACAAATCAAGACTAAGCAAGCGGCCTTGCCGGTGAGGCATCGAACCGCATTTCAATCAGATTTCAAACGACACACGCACAGTGGGCTGCATTTACATACAAATGCATATATAGCACATAGATGTTATGTTTATTGTTTTTTTTTCTGCAATTTAATTCGTCGTTTGCCCAAATTCGCTTTGCCGCAACACCTGAATCAGCCGAGGCACTCAAACCAAATTGAAACGTGATCCGACTGCGAGACGGCTGACCGGTCTTCAACTTGACTCACTTTTGCCAAAACTTCCATAGCAGTGATTCTGCGTAGCGGGCAGCGACAAAGGTGACTAAATTCGCACTAAAAAATTTGTATATTGCGATAGGTACATAAATCTATAGAGTTTATGCACACATCTACTTACTATGTCTATGTCTATGCTTGTATGTATGTAATGCCAATTAGCGTGTAGGTTTTAAGTGTTTTGTAGATTATGCAGCAAATATGGCTTAAGGTGATTTTTGTTTTAGCGACAAAACGACAGTCTTATTGTCCAGTAAATATCTAACAAAAAGTACAAAATTTGCCTTGAAATCCATGTAATCTTTAGGCTTAGGTTTGTTTTTAGCGTTAAACAATTTTTGTTACTTTTAATTTATAGATCTAAGTACGATTACTATTTAGCAGATTTCGAGTTCGATGTCCGGCTATCACAACATTGAAATACTAAAAAAATATGCAGAATGTCTTATGGTCTTATTTATTACAAAAAATTTTTCAACGACACCATCTGATACATATGTATTACAAGGAACAGCTTTTTTGAGGAAGGAATATTTCCAACCCAAGACGCAGGACCTATCACGAGAACATATCACGAGTCAGACGCACCGTATTGCCGCCTATTACACAAAAATTTCGATCTTTCAATTACATTGAAAATTAAAAAAAAAAAACGCGAATAAATATTGAAATCGAAAATCAAATTCTATGTAGTATATCTAATATGAATGTCGTGTAGATGAATGTAGCGCTCCTTTACTTTTATACTGTCATAACTAAAAAAAACCCAAAAACTCGAGAAAAACGATAATTGGTTTTTAATATCTTTAAATATTTTTTTTTTTTGCTATAAACATATATTTTATGCATGTAGAAGTAAACTTATTGAGTAAAAATTTGTGAAGTGGTCCACCATTTCTTCGAAGGTTGAGCTTTTTTTGTGCAATTATCTGTTTGTGCTTCACAACGATAAAAGAAAAA